AAAAATAGAAAATCCTTTGGAATTTGAATCTGTAACAGAGATTTGAAATTCAAATAGTATGTAAAATGGAAGAAAAAAAAATTTAAATCCTTTTGAATTTAAAATTCAAATAGGATTTAAAATGGAAACTTTTTTTTTAAAGAGGTTATGAAACAATTAGGAGATAACTCCTAATTGACTCATAAAGGGGGCCGGCGGCATGCATGGGTGAAATTAGGGTTTGGTGCCATGTGTGCAAGCTTGCCTAAAATAGTTTTAGACTTAGGAAATCAATTAAGTAACTCTATTTGAATTTGAATTCAAATATTATTAACTTAAGAAACGTTCCTAAAATAGATTCGCTAATTTAGGAAAGATTTCAAAATTTAAAATGTTTTGAATTTGAAATGAGGGATTTGTGGAGGGAAAATTTTGAGTTAATGAGGGAGTTAATTAGGAGCATTAATTGACTCTTAATTAAGCAAAGGATAGGAGGAGGGGCCGGCCTAGGAGACTCATGGGTTGGATGGGGAAGGTGGCCGACGGGTGAGGGAGTTGGCCGTGGGCTTGGATGGGAAAGATGAAGCTCGGGTGGGGTGAGATCCGGCGACTATGGTGTGGATTTTAGTGGAGCTTATTGTGGGGGAGGAGCGGGGAAATCTGGTGGATGAATTGGATGTGACGAAGAAGAATAAGGAGGGTGGTGAGTGAAGACGAAAATACAACGAGAAAACCACGAACTCTGCCATCTCCAAGGTTGGTGGGTGATACGATTTTCCTCTCCAAAGGATCTCAAATCACGAGCCCGGACCCATCCTGTGGCTGGTGAAAATCTCGATTTCTCTCATAGAAATCTCACTCTCATCCTCTCCCAAGAAGAACACAAGTGTGAAAAACACAAAATTTTCATATCAAATTAACCATTCTATTACAATAGCTTAAGACCCTATATATAAAATTTATATATAGGCCATAACATGAGAAAATAAAAAAATTACAAAAATGCCGCTTGGGCCATAACACTCAAATAAACTAACCTACGGTTAAAACATGAAATAACATAAAATAATAGCTAAAATTCATAAAATAAATTTTAAATAACAATTTAAATTAGAGCCGTCGATTTACGACGCCTCCTGTGATAAATGCGCCAGATCTTCGTGCCGATGTCCGCATCATTCTCCCCAGGTGGGAGAATACTCGACTCCGTCGAGTTAGCATCACGACTGCCCAGGTACAACTTTGGACGGTTCTTTGGATACATAGTTTCATCCTTCGAAATGGGTAATAGACCCAATGGGCACTTAAGCTCGCCAATTTCCTTAACCCGAGTCAAGTGATCACCTTTCAAACTGTCGCACTTCTTTTCGCCTGTAGAAACTTGTTCACTCTCCTCGATGGCTTTACTGGCGATAGGATCAATATGGAGTTCGATGGATATCACCTCCAGAGCTTCCTCAACCTTCTATGTTATAGGAGTGTTCACTGGGTCAGGAGAAACCTTAGCTTCTGTAGGGGTTGAAATTGAGCCAACCAAGTCTCTCTCTACAGGATTTGCTGTCACGCATTTTTCCTTGTCGACCAATTCATCTTCTTCTTCCTTGATCACCTTTTTTTTTCTTTGATTTGCACCGTGAGTGGGAAATAGAAAGCTTCATTGGCCACCAGCCATTTGTCAACTCTATCCACTCTTTCTATATTTCTTAGTGTCTTTTTCCTATCCTTTGATGAAGGGGATCTTGAAGAGGTGTAGAGCGATGGGTCCGTCCTACCTCGCTCTAGGCCATCGAACCGTTTGATTGTCTGACAGTGGTAATCGGCTAAGTCTGCTTGAGTCTCCTTGAGATGTTAACTAATGGCGGCCACCTGACCTACCATCCAGTTTAGAGTCCTTCCAAGTCGATTCGAGTCCATGCTCTGATACCAAACTGAGGAAGAACGAAAACGCCGGCTTTGCTACGGAGAGGATCTCCTCTCCAAAAATCTGCAGCAAGCCTAGGTGAGGCCCAAAACTTCCTCTCCTGTATTCTGAAAACTATTTCAGAATTAAAAAAAAAAAAGAATTCTGAGAGGAGTTCTCAGGTTTCTAACAAAAATCTGAGACCAATTCTCAGCTTTGGTAGGCTAAGATGAAGAGGACATTGAGGAGAAGTCAAGCCGTGAATAGGAATAGAAAATTGAATGGGATTTCCTGCACATGCTCTGGATTAGAATGCCCTTCACATGCAGGTAGGCAAGGGGAGGGGAGGTGACGGGAAAGAGCAGCTGACGGGGTTGAGAGGGTGGCGTGTGGGCCTTGAGATTTTTTTTAGAATTATTTCCAATACGTGGAAGACTCTTTGCGGGAGGAATTGTGGGCAGGATTTGGTGGAGAAAAACAATGCAAGAGCTTGAGATAATACAGCCAGCAGTGAGTTATGATGGAAGTTAATTCCCAAAGTAAAAGGAGGTGTTTTAGGAAAGATTTGAGCGGTGATTAATGTAGCCGGCGGGATGTAGAGAGGGAAAATAGGGATTTAATTCCAGAATACACTCTCAATTTTGGGAAGGAAATAAAGAGGCGGGGCTGTGGGGGTTAACGGCTTGGGATTTAATTAATGCTAGGAAATTAAAAATGGAAAATCCTTTGGAATTTGAATATGTAACAGAGATTTGAAATTCAAATAGTATGTAAAATGGAAGAAAAAAAATTCAAATCCTTTTGAATTTAAAATTCAAATAGGATTTAAAATGGAAACTTTTTTTTTTTAAAAGAGGTTATGAAACAATTAGGAGATAACTCCTAACTGACTCATAAAGGGGGCCGGCGCATGCATGGGTGAAATTAGGGTTTGGTGCCATGTGTGCAAGCTTGCCTAAAATAGTTTTAGACTTAGGAAATCAATTAAGTAACTCTATTTGAATTTGAATTCAAATATTATTAACTTAATAAACGTTCCTAAAATAGATTCACTAATTTAGGAAAGATTTCAAAATTCAAAATGTTTTTGGAATTTGAAATGAGGATTTGTGGAGGGAAAATTTGAGTTAATGAGGGAGTTAATTAGGAGCATTAATTGGCTCTTAATAAGCAAAGGAATAGGAGGAGGGCCGGCCTAGGAAACTCAGGTTGGATGGGGAAGGTGGCCGACGGGTGAGGGAGTTGGCCGTGGGCTTGGATGAAAAGATGAAGCTCGGGTGGGGTGAGATCCGGCAACTATGGGATGGACTTTAGTGGAGCTTGTTGTGGGCGGAGGAGTGGGGAAAATCTGGTGGATGAATTGGATTTGACAAGAAGAATAAGGAGGGTGGTGAGTGAAGACGAAAATACAAGAGAAAATCACGAACCGGCCGTCTCCAAGGTTGGTGGGGATACGATTCCCTCTCCAATGGATCTCAAATCACGAGCTCGGACCCATCCTGCGGCTGGTGAAACTCTCGATTTCTCTCATAGAAATCTCACTCTCATCCTCTCTCAAAAAGAACACAAGTGTGAAAAACACAAATTTTCATATCAAATTAACCATCCTATTAAATAGCTTAAGGCCCTTATATATAGGCCATAATATGAGAAAATAAAAAATTACAAAAATGCCCCTTGGGCCATAACACTCAAATAAACTAACCTAGGGGTAAAACAATAAATAACATAAAATAATAGCTAAAATTCATAAAATAAATTTTAAATAACAATTTAAATTAGAGCCATCGATTTACGACGCCTCCTGTGATAGATGAGCCAGATCTTCGTGCCGATGTCCGCATCATATTATATAAGATTTAAAATCATGGATTAACTACATAAGATTCATTGGTTCTAAATTTTTTAACAATGTTTTTTAACTTTTGATGAAAATGAAATATGAAGAGAAGTAATTTAGAATATAGTTCGATAATCGTATATTAGAAATAATGTTTAGAAGTTTAGAATTAAGAATACCAAATAAAAAGTTGAAATCCATGTGTTTGTTGAAACCAAGATGGTACCATGCTTGAGTAAAATAATCACTCAATCAATCTAATAATAAGATTTTCAACAAGAAATAGAAGTAGTAGAAGAGATGCATCATAAGAAGAATAATCATGCGCTTTTTTTTTATAATGAGATAACTTTTTTCGAGATTCTAAAAATTTCCCTTTTGTTCAAAAAGATGATTCTTGGAAGTAGAAAAAATAACAAATCTAACTAGGTTTTTATTCAAAACAAATTTGATTGAGTTTTGTAAATACCTTATATTCTTACTCATAATCGAAATTCCCTTGGAATCCTTTTATCAGCTTCCTGCAAAAAAAGCTGAAGTCACCTATGAGGTCATGATTCTGATGAAAACTTGCCAACCATAGGTTTTGCCAAAGAAAATACCAAGGTAGCCTCAAATTATGAACAACCCAAACACTCAACACTTGCGATTACTAGATGCTCATAAATGCCTGCAACTTGTGACACTAGATGCATGCTCACTTCACAATAGAGGCCAACCACAAGAATCACAACTGCAATTTTTCCTAGTGAAATAGAAACTAGAGGCTATAATATTTGAAGCTCGAATAGCTGTTTGAGTAGGAGAACTGCACTAAAGCTTACCTAGTTGGCTGCAACGAGCAGAACCACTGCTCAACAGACAAGCCAAAAGAAAAGTCACAAAAGTAGAGAACCCAAAATAAAGAATCCAGGGGGACTAGGGCAGTGAAATTTAGGTCAAATTAATAATGTATCTGAAACCACTAAAATCAAATAGAAGACCCCATCTTTTAAATTGTTAGTCTTAATGCACATGATTTTTGTTTTCAAGCGTTGTAGAGTTGCATCAACAAGCTATGGAAAATGGATGCTTAAAATATATCTGCTTCTTGCTTTAATGCTCAAAAGTTACGTTTTTTTTATTTGTTGTTTTGCTTATAATTTGTCGCTTCACAGTCAATTCTTCTCATAGGATGAATTTCTACGCTGCCATGCATTTCTGTATTCGAGAATAGCTTCTGTTTGGGGTGCTATAATCGTTTTCAAGATCACCTTATTAATTCTTTTGTCAATGGTGCAGGGGATATGGTAGCATATTCTGCTGGCGTGGGCTTCACCCCTCATGTAATCACTGTAGCATCTGGCGAGGTATGATTTAGCTGGTTTAGTTAATTGCAGTCTTTCCTATTGTCTATCAATGGCATTCTGCAATGATATGTAATTTACATCTTTTTCTGCAGCCTAAAAGCAAATTATCACATTTTAAGGTCTTTTGTTATTTTTTGCTAAGCATTTTGTAGTAAGCGGAACAATTGAGGATTTAAGGCTTTTTGTTATTTTTTGCTAAGAATTTTGTAGTAAACGGAACAATTGAGGATTTAAGGCTTGTTTGAGGTGGCTGTAATTGCCTTTCGTGTTATTGTCGCACCCCTTCATCTATCCTTGTTAACCCAAAGAGAGTGCTGCAAGAGATGAGCGTTTTGTGTTCTTTTTTGAGTGAGCCACTTGCCTATGATGTTGCCAAACAGTGCGTTCATTAGGTGCACTTGTGAGCACTCCCACCATACCCCAGATGAAATCTTAAACAAGACCCTTGGTTAATGTCAAATGATGCACCATGCCATGAAGATTCCTCGGTGTCAAGTGCATGTAAAAGACATCTTGAGTGGTATTTGTAAAATTGAAAAAAAAATTGTGATATTAATTAATTCAACAGTCTGTGACAAAAAATCCCAAAAAGAAAAAATAATGTTACATAAAAAATTGTTTCTCATGTATGATGATTAAATTATATATGATACTTAAAATTCACTTAAATCAAATCAATACCTATGGTGCCACTAAAAACAAAACAAATGCTAAAAAGGATACCTAAACTTGAAACTATGTCAACCACTCTGCACGCTCTTGAAAAAAAAATTGTAACAATTGAACAAAAAAATAATCACGCATGCTTTACTAATCATATCAATATCGGAGGTTGTTAGTGACTTAGTTCTATGGGGAATTTGATTGTGTTGATCAAACGGGTTGTACTGTTTCCTCAACCTCAATTCAGTATGTTGAGCTCGCTTGGGGGTTGCAGGGGTCCTTCCCCTGAAAATTTTTTCTCCATATAGCGCCCCGGTGCCGTGTACTTGAGCTTGCTGGTGCTACATAATTTGGTGGAGAAAGACAGAGAAGTTGCGTGTTGCAGTGCTACAATCCTCGACGCTGCAACTCTTCAGACCTGGTGCTACGACACTGTTGTGCAGGTTGAAATCAGAGAGTTGGGAGTGCCACAACTCTACGAGACTGGCTGAGCAGTTTTCTTTCTCGTTTTTGATTAAGGGCTGCGTCCATTGGTTGTTGTATTGAATCTCTTTGTATGTTCTAGTGTGTGAACGGTGCAAGAAAGAGGATAAGCAAGGAGAAAGTGTGAAAGAAGATATATGTACTATTTCTCCTAAATTTTCATAGTGAATTTCTTGATGTTTTGTGGCTCTGTATTTTTTTCCCGGTTTTGATTTTTTTTCACGTTAAATCCTAATGTTCTTTCTTTTCCGCTGCATTATCTATTTCTTATTTGTTTCATTGTGTGTTTTACTTCCCCCCAATAGAGGTAGATCAAAGATAAACGTGGGAAATTGTTCTTAGAGAAGAAATAACCACAAGTATGTGGAGAAGAAATAACCACAAATGCCACATACTTTCATGACCCACCAAACTGATTTTGACAACATAATAACTAGTAGTGTGACTCTAATAGTTTACAAATAAATTAATATGAACTGTCCTTGATCATATACATTTATATCCACTAAAAGCAGTGTCATACAAGCAAATTAATGTCAACATCCATACAGTTTATCCATCCAGAACAATAATCTAATTATTATTACATTCATCTGAAGAGGGAACCAAACTCCAACTGTAAGTACATAATACGCATTAATTGGCAAACTATTGAAGACACTGAAATCATATCACAAATGCGATCGTCAACCACAAATATCCATAAAACTTACTCATCTTGGACGTGTCTCTTAATTTTGACGATTGCATAAAGGACACCCTGCCTGAACGGATCATAACATGTATAATGGAATGTGTTTTTCCAATTCAGTAGGTGGATCACTTACAATATAACAGTTAGGAAACCAAAAATTGATATATGCGTACTGTTATATAAGAAGTTATAATAACAGAGAAAATTTTAAGTATCAAATTTGAAAACAGAAAAGGAAGAGAATTTGTTTTAATTTATTTTGTTCAAACTATTTAGTTCTGTATTTGTACAACAAAAAGAGTGGGAAAGGAAACCCAAATTCTAGAAAAGTCATAATATAAATAATTCAAAACAAGGAAACATTAACAATTTGCTAAAAACGTTATTTTCCAATTTCTGGGATTGTTCCTATTTTTTCACACACTCCTCATGGCCATGAATAAATGTTTATCATTCCTAGATCGTCAACTACCGTGTCAAAATCTTTGATTTTAGAAGTCCTGCTAGAATAGTTGCCAAATTTTGTTTTGTTGGAACATAGGTCATACAGATAAACCTTTCCATATTCTTTTTCTTCAATAAGTTATATATCCACTTTAACCTGTTTTATTCAGTTACAGGGGACTGAGTTGTGTGCAATATTGATTGTTACCTTATTGTTGCAAAGCAGCTTTCATATATTATGTACTTTGAACTTTCAGTTCTAAACTTTTTTTGCAAGATTAATTCACAAATTCCTTTAACTAGGTTCAAAATTCTACTTTTGCAATACTATGATCTAATTGCTTTTCGCTTCTCAAAGTGCTGGATTTTTCCACTGTTGACCTCAAACCGTCTGCCTAGCCACCTCACGGATCCCACTACCTCCACTCACGCACAATCTCACAATTGCCACACTCACGACACAAAACTCCCTCACATGGCATAAATCTCTCTTGCTCGCTCATTCGACTCTTCGACCTCAGACGCACGCAGATGACCCCACCTAAGTACTCCCTTGATGAGGTCATCGATAGTAGATTTCGGCGCGTCTATCAGAGACGACCACGGAGATCGACGGCCATGATAGAGAGCCTCTATTATTGATTTTATTTGTACTAGCAGTTTATATGTTATGCATTTATTTTCTTAGTTTTCCCATTTTACCCCTGAGGGTATTAGTTGCTCTTGTAGCCCCAAGGGGCATTTTAGACTTTTGCATCTACTTTTATTTGGAGCCTATTTATATGGCCCCTTGTATCTTGTATGAGATTATTGATTTGATAAATGAAAATTTCTATTGTGTGATCTCTTTGTGAGTTCAAGGATCTCTTAGTGAGTTCTTGTCATGAGATCTCTTTTTGAGTTCTCCTTGTATTAGTTTCCCTTGATCTTCACCTCATCCATGAGCAACGCCATCTGCACCTTCAATTGGAGAGAAGTCGGGCCCCTTTCCTTCCTGCCGCCGCCTTGAACCCCCATCCGTCGGCTCCATCAACCCCACCAGCCGGCCACCTCTACCGCCGGCTTTGCTTCCCCACCCCCCCTTCCTCCATCCTCCCACCACCAATCTCCTTGGAATCATGTTCAAATTTGAATTCCAAGTTCAAATTATTTCCAAATTAGGAATTTCCAATTTTGGAAAGTTTTCGAATTTTGAATCTTATTTCACATAAAATGAAATTGGGTTCATGAGGACAAGATTTTCCTAGTCATCATCCTGATTTGGAATTGTTTCCCCTCTCTACCACCTCCTCTCTCCCTCATAGATGCCGCCGGCCCCCATTCAAGGAGACCTCATTAATTCTCCATTAATCCCTCTCTCTGACTTGAATTTCAAATTCTAATTTCCCCCTTAATCCCTCCAATTTCACTAAAACTGAAATCCTACTCAGCTTTTCTTCTATTTTCAAATCCTAACCCTTGTGAAACCGCCGGCCTCCCCCCCCATTGACTCTCCCATTGAATGAGCAATTAATTCTCCCTTAATTTAGGGATTTCAAAATTGAATCCTAAGTTTTTCCCTCCCAATTCCCTAAAACTGAAACTAATTTCAGTTTTCTAACATCACATCCCCTCCCTCTCCCCTCCATACCGCCGGCCTCCCTCTTAGCTCCCCAAGCCGTCGCCCACTTCTCCCTCCCTTTAGAGGTTTCCTTGCGGCAACCACCCACGCTCCCTGTTAAGGATGCATGGAAGAACCCGAGTGGAACTTTGGGTTTGAGTACGACAACAACGGAAGGGTCAACATCCTCCGATCACAGTTCTTCGACGTCGGATTTGACTTCGACGACACCGTCGAAGAATACTTGGACCGGATCCTCCCAATGCTCGTGGATTCCATCAACGACCACTTCTTCATCTACACGTGGATAATCAAAGGTCGATCTACCGTGCCCCCTCCGCCTCCGAGATCCTTTCCCATGGCGACGTTCTTTGGTACCTCCATCTTAGTGGCAACCTCGATGCTAGTCTGGACAATTTTCCGTCGCTCAACTTAGTCTCTGTATGAAAGAGAGTTAAAGATCTCAAGGTGTGAACAACTCCATATTAATTGCGGGATTCTATTTACTAGCCTTTGCTTTATGTTTTCCTTTGCGTTTGCTTAAATGGTTTAGCTATCTTGTTGTACTTTCTTTGCCTAGCAAGTTGAACATCGCGAATTACTTGTAATCAACTTACTTTGATGCATGATTATATAATTCGTTGAGCTAGAATTTAATTCTCTTTTACTTCTTGTATAACTCCATCCATGCATCACATCATTTTGGTATCAGAGCATGATTACCATGCTTGACATGCGTAGAAAGCATCCTAGGGTCTAGTTCCTTGCGGTAGTTCAAGAATTTTATGCATATCATTGCTTAGTTAAAAAAAAATTTCACTGTTTTGTTACTGTCTTTGCATTTCCTGCACGCGATCATGGGCATTTAAGTCGTCTTAGCTCGTGTCTAGGTGCTGCCTTTGAGCCTGTAGTGTTTCAAACTGCTTAGGACTGTGGACGTGTGTTTGTAGCTGCTGTCCGCTCGATTCCAGCAACTGCTGGCATCATTTAGGAGAACTTGAAGGTGCTGTTTTGTGCTGTCCCCACTCCAGAATCTGCCTTAAGTGATTAGGAAGCAACGATCTTTGTATTAGTTGGCTGTCCAGAACTTTCCGACTGCTGTTGGTACCCTGTTAG